TGGATACTTAAATCCAGAGGCTGAGGCCTTGTAGAGATGAGACAGATCTTTCTACAACCCCGAGAAAAGCCCCAGGTTTGTAGAAAAATCTGAAATCTAAAAAAAATACATTGTGGGGTTACAAAAATATAAAAACTGTACCTGTATCTTTAAGAAACAAATGCCCTCAGTGGCTGTTGCCAGGCAACCACAACAGCACTGCCAATCTTCAAGCCTTGGTTTCCACCAGGAAAAGGATGGCGGGAGGAAGTAGAGGCCTTCCCATGGCTGTGTTGCCTTAAAAAAGGACTCAAAGGGGCCAGACCTGGTAGCAGACCCTGGGCCACTCCACCATAGCCAGAGTGGAGTAGTAGTTAAGAGTTTCAGGTGAGGATCTCAGAGACTTAGGCTTGAATGCTCACTCTGCTATGGAAGTTCACTGGGAGACTCTGGGATAGTTGTATGCTCACAGCCTAACCTACCTCATAGAGTTGTTGCAGGGATAGAACACAGGAAAGGAGAATGGTGTAAGCCACACAGGGTCCCCTGTTGTAGACAAAATCAGGGTATAAATGAAGTAACTAAATACAGCTGAAGATGGGGGAGGTAGACAAACGATAGGTTGGTTGGTGGGAAGAACTGTAACACCTGGAGTGGAATAGAATGGCTATTGAATAGAAATCTTCCTTGCTCATTCTTTGGCCATCAGCTTGTTAATGAAGACCAATGTTTAATCAATGTGCTTCTAGCATTTAAAAAAACCCTGTCCTGTTAGTACATCTGAAAGGAAGGTTCTCTCATTTCAGGCCAAGCTAATTTTGACTATTTGGAACAGCCTACAAAAGCCACACTCACCAAACAGCCCAAGACTGTCCCAAGCATATACCCTTGCCAGCCTGCATACTCATCTGTTTTACCTTATTGAGATTGTCGTGCTCCGGGTTGCCCCCTGTAAAGCCTGTCGCCATTTTGGAAAAGGGATCTTCAAGGAAACAAACACCTCAGATATGAACATGCTGGATGTTGCTTCACACACCAAACCTTGTTCTCAGATTAATCGCCTCTTCGCTCTCTCTCTGCCTTAGCTATGCGATTATCTGAACTCCTCCCCGGTGTTTCCCGTTTCCTCTCTTTTATCCTCCTCCCCACCCTTCCATATCCACCCCTCAGAGCCCATAGGCTCCTTCAGCTATCACTCTCTGTGGTCCCCGTGTTTCCCCAATCCCCGAGGGCTTCTCACTCCCGATCCTGCCCTCTTCTAAATCTCCGTGGCGTTGGGCGGGAAGGGGGAGTGCCCGCTTCCGCTCAGCATGTTGTGGCCGGTGCCTGGACCTGAGTGTGAGGTAAGGCCAGGACCCTCCGCTCTCCTCTGCCCTTCACCCGGGCTCGCCCCTCTTTGGCACGAGGAGCGATGTCTGCGCTGGACCGCTCCCTCTCTCCTGCGTGCTCCCTGTGTCTGGGCTGTCGCTGAGGGAGCGGGTTGGGGACGTGCGCTTCCCCAAGACCGTCTCCCGGGGTCCTTCCATCTCCCGGCATTATGAAAGAGCCCGGTGCGGACCGCGCCAGTCCCACCGCAGCGGGACAGAGATGTTATCCCAGGACTCTGAACTGCCATGTTTCCTCTCTACCAGTTAGGTGACATATCTGAAATCCTGCCACAACTCCTCCCCTATTTCCAAGTCTGGAAAGAAAAAAATTTTCTTTTGGGACTTGCTGGCTGTCCACAGTCTATGAACAAAGTGAGTTTTGTCTGCTTATAACCACCCTGCCTTGTCAGCTAAAGAACACACATTCTGGACACACTCCCCCACCACCACTCAATTCCCACCAGGAAGATTTTAAAAATTATTTTACTGGAAACAATACATATTTTGGGAATAACCGAAAACCCCTCTTATAAAATGTTATTTTAGAATGATGAATTAATTGCTTTTAAATACAAGACTTCAAAATATTTTAACTGTCCTTTAGTCCCTCAATATGTCTTAACTATGAAATACCGAATACCATAAATTGTGCTACATAACTATAATTCCAATAATTAAAACAAATGAAACAAATAAGCACTGACCCACATAAATTTTGGAGAATCCCATCTTCACTGGGCAGTGTACAGCTGCATTTGCCTAAAGAAACTTTCATCTATTTTTATGCTATTTTGTCCATTTTCCTTTTAAAAAATCAATTTTATTTTTAATTGCAATACTGTACTTAGGTTTTATTAATCAACCTCATTTTTATCATAAATATAATCATGTAGTTACACTTGAGATGGGATTAGGTTGCCCAGCAATTACATTCTTATTGCTGAGCCATGTCATTCCATCATTTCCCAGTCTTTTCTACCGTTTCCCATCTAATGTTGACAGCTAGCTGTTTTTCAGATGTCATACAGTATTTTGCATGATGGGATACAATTTAGGCACTGTTCCAAAAAACCTTCACATTCCACAAATGATTGACATCTAAAAGGGTGAACTCAAATCCATCACAAAGGAATTGACTCACCAACTGCTTTGCCTGACAAACAACTGGCTGCGGTCACACGGGCAGGAAACTGCGGGGAGGGAGCGTGGCTATTTGCACCGGGGCAACATACCTCGCGGCAGCGGGATCAGACGTCCCGGCGAGGTTCCGGCGAGGTCCCGTGGATTAGGTGGCGGTGCCGATCACACGAGCATCCGCAACTCCAGCAAGAGCCGATGGGAAGGGGACGGAAGGAGCCACCCCCTCTGGGAGGGCCGTGCACAGCCCACTCTGGGCAGGGTCCATGGGCCGCTCACAAGGAGGGGAGGGGAGGGGAGGGGAGGGGGGGAGTAACCCGCCAGGTCCCCCCTCCCCACCAGCGTCTCGCCTGCCCTCCCTTCCTCCCCCCGGGACATGCGGCCCTCTCTGCCTGGCCGCTGCCGCACACCCCCATCGCAGCCCCCCGTGGCCCTCCCTCGACCCTTCCAATGTCGGGCGCCTTTGTGCGCATGCGCTGTTGAGCGCTTCGGGGGCATGGGGGGGAACCACCCGGCGGGCGCCGGATGCCATGGAAGCCCAGCGGGGACGCGATCAGGCGCCCGCCCTTGCTGCGCAGTTCCCGGAAACTAGTACCTCGGAGGTACTAGTTTTTTACTGCGCTTCTTCCGATGGTAGCCACGGATCAGCCACGGGAGCTCTACGCTCCCCAGATGTTGCGGTGAGATCGCGCCCGGAAACTCCACTTCTCTTCTGTCCCTCTTGCGTGCCTAATGCTCCGTGTGACCGCGGCCAACTGTGTAACATAAAAGAGGCAAATTTAAGTGCAAACCTTAGAGGCATCCAAGGGGACCTTGTAATGATAACTAGTAATGGCCTACCAAGATTTTTGTGAGGCTTTGGACCTTGCCTGAGAAAACTAGATGAGGCAAGATGTACAGACTGGGAAATAACTCTACCTGCCCACTATTTCTGTGATATTTCCTTAAAGTGCATGCCACGGTGATACTGGAAGCAGGAAGAAAAGATTATCTCAACACAGTTCATTATGGGCACTACCATAGTTTGGATTAGCCCCTTGCTACATAGGATATTTCTTTATTCCCACAGCACAGTTCTCCACCTATCCCACTGGAAAGTATCCAAAATTCTCAAAGCCTACTTCAAAAGTACATAATTCTCACCCCTTTGATGATAACCATATCCACAATCAAAACAATGACATTTAATACAGGCTGGCATTTAGTCAAGTGGTCAGGATTAACTATTTTTAAAATGTTTTAACCATATACAACTATATACAGAACAAAGTTATTTCACATAATCTCCAGAAAAGTAACATCAAGCTTACACCAGCACTGAAAACTTTTCAATTAAATCAAACGAAAAATATATCATCTCTTGGAGCAGGGAATTATTTGGGATAATACTGTTTTTTGCGATATAACTAATCAGAGGAAACCATACAGCTACAATTTTTTGTTGTATGTTTCAGGAGGTAGGTTAGAAGTATGAAAAGCTAATTTACTCAAAATAAAATAATCACAAATTCTGGAGTATGGTCAGGGTTAACTTGATGTACTTTGTAGATGTTTAGTTTTTCAGTGTTGTAGGCAGCCTTGGGCCAAGTAGAAAAGTGGTGTTAATTTTTTTCTAAATAGATACATAAATTGAATAAAATTATGTACTTTAACGTGCTGTTATTCCAAAGTTTGGTTTCCAAATAACTCTCAAGGGCAATATATTTTCCAACATCTTCATTGAGAGTGAAATATCTTCTTAAACAAAAACTCCAGACTATTTTAATATTGTTTCTGAAAATGTTTTTCTAACTTCTTGTTTACAATTGCATGTATATAGAGAAAAAGGTGATAGTCAAATACAAACTATCCTTACATTTTCATTTGTATACTATTTCAATAAAACTAGAATTCTTAAACTGTAAATGTTAAGTGGCTTAGAGGCAAACAACCATTTCTAACCCACAATGGGCAAAAATAGCCCTTCCAAAGTAACTGAGAAAATGACACTCAATAGCTTTTACAACATAATATATTAAATGTAAGCAGAAGATTAAATGTAGACATATTCACTAGCATGCTTTGACCTACTAAAAGTACTGTAAGTGATGCTTTCAAAGAAGTTAAAAATGAACACCAAACACATCTCCAAAAAATCATTAGACATTTCTGTATGGCTGACCTATATGACCACCAGTGACATTTAGATAGTATAGGTAAAGGTTTCCCTTGCTCGAAAGCCAGTCGAATCCGACTCTAGGGGGCAGTGCTCATCTCCATTTCCAAGCCAAAGAGTCAGCGTTGTCCGAAGACTTTTCCGTGGTCATGTGGCTGGCACGACTGAATGCCAAGGCGCACGGAACGCTGCTACCTTCCCACTGAAGCGGTACCTATTTATCTACTCGCAATTTCTTGCTTTGGGACTGCTAGGTTGGCATGGTATGGTATGGTTTGGTGTGGTGTGGTATGGTACAGATGACACTAAAACCATGAAAACCAAGAACCAGTAAAATTAATATTAAAATGTTAATAACTTACCCAAGTGTAGCAGTGCAAACTGTGCTGCTAATTCTTTTGCATCTTCTACTGTTGTGCACAGCTTGTCTGGCATAAAATAACTCTGGGAT